AAGACCACCTTTTCTCCATGGGCAGAGAGACAAGGTGGTAACAGAAGTGCCCATGTGGACCTGGGTGCAGACTTGGTTCCTCTGCAGAATGGGCCTGTGGGAGGAGTCCAGGATGATGATCATGAGCACTCAGCAGAGGGCTTGGCACTGTGTGTGCGTGTAGGCAGGGGGTGCTTCAAGGAGGCTTTTGCAGTAAAACCTGCAGCAGGCCAGAGTGACTTAGACCCAGGTGGTCCGGGTAAGCAGTGAGAATGGTTGGCTAGAGATGCAGTGAGGGAAGAATCTGAAGGATCTGCTGTAGGTGGAGATAGGTGAGGGAGAAGTGAGCAGAGCCACAAGGCTGGAGTGATTGAGGTGGGGGGGCCTAGGCGAGGAGCAGGTTGGTGTGAGGTTGAGACAGACTTGTTGGTTGATGCCAGTTAGACAATTCAGAGAGGTGTTGGGGAGCTGGGCACAGTGGCTTATGCCTGTAATCCCAGTGACTTGGGAGGCTGAGGCAGGAGAATTGCAAGTTGGAGGCCAGCCTTGGCAACTTAGTGAGACCCTGTTCCAAAAATAAATAAATAAATGAATGAATGAGACAGAAAGGGCTGGGGACTGGGGTTGTGGCTCAGTGGTAGAGTGCATACCTAGCATGCATGAGGCACTGGGTTCAATCCTCAACAGCATATAAAAATAAAGATATTATGGCAACCTAAAAAAGGACTGGGTTGTAGCTTAGTGGTAAAGCACCCTGGTTCAATCCCCAGTACCAAAAAAAAGAAAGTGAAGCCAGGGGCAGAAGTGGAGCTGGTGGGTAAAGATTGACGTTTGGGACTGCTTGGATTGTCAACACTGATGTCACCCAGCAAATGTAAAGAGTTGAAAGGTGGAAGCCATCCCAGGGCATCACCAGGCATTCCTATGGCCCTTTTCTGGCAGGTGCTACGTGTGTCTTGAGGAAGGGCACTACAGGTTTGTTGGAAGCCCCGCCCTTCAGAGTGCAGAGGGATGAGGGGCGGCCTGTAGGGAGGAGAGGGTGCAGAGTCCCCCAGCCAGGTAGGGGAAGTGCCCATGTGGAGGGCATTGTGTGGAGGTAGTGCTGGGAGGGGCCAGTCTGGGGAGGGCCAGATTTGATCCTCCAAACTAGGAGGGCTTTTGTGACATTGGCTGGAGCAAAGTCCTCTCACAGAAAGGTGAGCTGACTGAGCAGGGACAATGCTATGAGTAGTTTTGCTGCAGAGGAGCCAAGACAAGAGTGATGGCTGGAGAGCAGTCTGAAGTCAAAAGAGATTTTGCTTTTTTTTTTCTTTCTTTTTGGAAACAGCGATTGAACCCAGAGGTGCTCAACCATTGAGCCACATCCCCTGCCTGTTTTTTATTTTTAATTTTGAGTCAGGGTCTTGCTAAATTGCTTAGAGCCTGGCTGTATTGCTGAGGCTGGCCATGAATTTGTGATCCTCCTGTCTGGGATTACAGACATACATTTTAGTTTTGTTTTTGGTATCAAGGATAGAACCTGGGGGCGGTTTAACCCCTAAGTCACACCTCCAGCCCATTTGATATTTTATTTAGAGATAGGGCCTTGCTAAGTTGCTTAGAGCCTCACTAAGTTGCTGAGGCTGGCTTTGAACTTGTGATCCTCCTGCCTTAGCCTCTTGAGCTGTTGGGATTATAGGAGTGTGCCCCTATTCTCAGCTTGAGATTTTGCTTTTTTAAAGCAAGACATAACTAGATGTTTTCTGCTGATGGGTCTAAACTTGTTGGGAGAGATGATTTGATGCAGGAGGAGAGAGGACTTCCTGGAACAATGTCCTTGAGCACTAGAGAGGGAACAGGCTTGTGTGGAGTGGAGGGGCAGTTCAGGTAGCAGTTAGGACTGAGGGACAGATGGGAGAGATCAGGAGAGAAGGCAGTGGGTACACTGTGGTGGCTGAGGAGGTTCTCAGTTTAAAAATGACTGAGGTGGGGGGAGAGAGTACTCAAGCAGGGGAGCAAGGCCTGTTGGTTAGGAAGCACTGGTAGCCACTGTGGTGGGGAAGTATAAGAGAAGTCTCTCTCCCTTTGGGGAAGAAAGTGGAAAAGTTGAATGGAAGCCAGTTGCCGAGGCTTGGGAGGCTGAGACAGGAGAATTGGGAGTTAAAAGCCAGCCTCAGCAATTTAGTAAAGCCCTAAGCAACTCAGCAAGACTCTGTCTCTAAATAAAATTCAAAAAAGGGCTGGGGATGTGGCTCAGTGGTTGAGTGCCCCTGGATTCAATTCCCGTTGCCAAAAAAAAGGCTGACTGGAGATGGTACCTGTGAGTAGGCAGGTAGAAGCTAGAAATAGACAAGGAAGGTTGTTTAAACCCCAGAGGACTGTGGAAAGGCTTCGGTGGGAAAACTGTTTTCAATTGGGCTGAGCTGGACTGTGCCGCGGGCTTTGGACACCTGGCTGGGGCGTGGTACTTGCCACTGCACCCCTGCCCTGATCTGCTTACCCTGAAGGTCTCTTGGATGAAAGACTGGAAAAGTTGCGTTATCAAAGACAGATTCACTCTCCTGCACGTTAATGTTTTAATTTTATCATATGTGTGTGCCCGCATGTTGCTGGGGATGGAACCCAGGGCCTTGCATCTGCCAGGCAAGAGCTCTACCTCTGAGCTGCACACAGTCCCTCGCCTTTTTTTTCCTTTCCTGGTGCTGGGGATCAAACCCAGGGTATCACAAATGCTAGGTAAGCACTGACCTTGTGCATTTTTATAAACAAACAATGCTGTAGCCCAGCTGTATGGCCTGGCCAGTGGCTGGCAGCAGTTTTCGCCACCCAGGCAGCTAGTTTGTACATAAGAGCACAGCTTCCTGAGTCACTGGGCAGTGATTCCCTTCATCCATTCTGCAGCCTGGAGTGGCTTCTTGGAGCTTAGTTGCCATCTGCTGTGTTGTTACCTTTGTTGGGGCCATTTCTTGGGCTAGCCCTAGTCTGGGCAAATGTTGAGGGGTCAGGTGGGGGGGGGGCTGCCTCTCTGCAGGACCTGCACAAAAAGTACTCATACATCCGGAAGACCAGGCCTGATGGCAACTGCTTCTATCGAGCTTTTGGATTCTCCCACTTGGAGGCACTGCTGGATGACAGCAAGGAATTGCAGCGGTGAGGAGGGTGGCGCATGGGCATCAGAGGGCAAGGCTTGTGGGCACCTTCTTCCCTCCTGAGGGATAGGAGGATGGTTCCACCTTAGACCAGGAGGTTGGCTGGACTCCTGCTGGGGGCTTCCCTTTGATCTGGGTTGAGGGTGGCCTGTCTGAGGCTGGACAGTGTGGGCTGGGCCCCTGCTTTGCTGGCTGAGGAGCTCTTCCGCTCCTACCCACAGGTTCAAGGCTGTGTCTGCCAAGAGCAAAGAGGACTTGGTGTCACAGGGCTTCACTGAGTTCACAATTGAGGATTTCCACAATACGGTGAGCTCTGCACCTGTCTCAAGCTGAGCCAAGATGGAGGGTGGTTGGGTGGGGTTGACCCCCTCCTCCTCCCTCACCTTGCCCTTTGTCCCTCCATGGGGGCAGTTCATGGACCTGATCGAGCAGGTGGAGAAGCAGACCTCAGTAGCTGACCTCCTGGCCTCCTTCAACGACCAGAGCACCTCGGACTACCTTGTGGTCTACTTGCGGCTGCTCACCTCAGGCTACCTGCAGCGGGAGAGCAAGTTCTTTGAGCACTTCATCGAGGGTGGGCGGACTGTCAAGGAGTTCTGTCAGCAGGTGCCAAGCCCCCTCCCACTGGGGACCATCCCTTGTCTGTTGCCCCAGGGTGGCAGGTGCCAAGGGGGTGGGAGTGCACTAGGGCCCACGGGTCCTGGGGAAGGGTGCTGGGAAGGGCCTGACCAGTACCTGTGCTGCAGGAGGTGGAGCCCATGTGCAAGGAGAGTGACCACATCCACATCATCGCACTGGCGCAGGCCCTTAGCGTGTCCATCCAGGTGGAGTACATGGACCGTGGTGAGGGTGGCACCACCAACCCGCACGTCTTCCCTGAGGGCTCTGAGCCCAAGGTCTACCTTCTCTACCGGCCTGGACACTACGATATCCTCTACAAATAGGGCTGGCTGGCCTGCCGCTGCCCTGCCTGCCTCCCCCTCTGCCAGGCGCTAGACATGTACAGAGGTTTTTTTTGTGGTTGTAAATGGTCATATTTCACTCCCTCCCTTTTCCTGTCACACAATCTTCCACGTTTTATTAAAGGGGATGCTGGTGGCAAGCTGCGTGTGTGCGTGTCCCTGCTGCTGCCTGCCGACTGGCTGCTGTGTGTCTGGCTGCCCCGCTTCCCTCAGGTGGGTCCCCCAGTTTTCTACCTGTCCAACCCCAAGCTTTCTCACCAGGAGCAGTTTTGAGGGGGCTAGGCCTCCTGGGGGACCCTCCTGGTTGCTTGGAATTGTGCTCTCTAAGGCCTCCCCCTTCCCCCTTCCCCTTCCACACTTCAGTTGTGGATATTTCTCTGGGAGTTGCCTAGGTCTCTGGCTTCCACCTTGCTGTCCTGGCCAGGGCCCCAGACCCCAGCCTTGTGCCCTCCACCAGGGATCTGCATGACTGGAGAGTCCTGGGCAGAGAGGGCTCACAGGATGGGACTGGCCCAGGCCAGGTGGTGGAGGGGGCACCAGCCTGCTGCGGGAGGAGTGGCCTTCAGTCCTCAGGTCTAGGCAGGGCTTGCCAGTTCCCCACTCTTCCCCACCTCTAGGCCCCCTGCCTGCGCCTGCTTTGCACCCTCTTTGCTTGGGCCAGTGTCTGCATTGCCTGCCTTTTGCCTTTGCTTCTCTTCTTCACCCACCCCAGCACATGTGGGGTCTCAGCCCCAGGCTGTGAGCTCCTTGGGGGCAGGCCCTCAATAAATGTGAAGTGCTGCTGCCACCTTCGCTGTCCAGCCTGTGCCTCCACACCCGCCTGGCTCACCAAGAGCTCTTGCCAGTCCCTATAAGCCAAAGCGCCTGACTGAGGCTCCATTTTGGGTTGGCTTCCCATGCTCCAGCCCCAGAACAGTCAGAGCTCAGACACTGGGAGCTGAAATAGTCATTTTATTAAGAGGCTCCTTAGGGGCAGGGGGCTGGGAGCGGGGTGGGGTGTGGAGCTGAAGGAAAGAACAGCATGGCCTTGCCCAGGCCCAGACCGCAGGCTTCAGCTACCTCTCAGAGCTGGGAGCGAGGTCCTGCAGGCCCAGACAGGTCTAAAGGCAGAGCAGAGAGGTCAAGGAGCTGAGGGCTTGCAATCGCCCTGGCTTCCCCTCCTCCCTACCTGGGGGTGAGCCCAGTAGAGGCTGAGCAGGTGTTAGTGATAGGTTAGTGTGTAGGGCAGCCTTAAGGGGCCAGGCCCTGCTTACCAGTCCTGCTCAGGCTGGGCTGCGGGGAGCCTCAGGCTGGAAGGCAGAGGACAGTGAGAGCCCAGCCCAGAGCCGAGAGGGGAGGGGCAGGGCTGGCCGTGGGGTGGGCGCCTTTGGGTTGGGGCAGCGCGGGGCACGTACCCACGGGGAAGTAGTGGGGCAGAAGCTGCCGGTAGATGTTCTCGTCCTTCTCAAGGAATACGCAGATGATCAGCCGATCCACCTGCGTCAAAGGGGTTGTTCAGCCTGTCTTATTGCTCGGGCCCCCATAGGTTTTTACCTGCCTTGCTCTGGGGGGGGGGGGGTCCCCTCCTCTGGCCCTGACTTTAGAGCTCACACTGAGCCTTCTATAGAAAGGGCTTGGGGTTGTGCTCCCGCCACTCCCTTCTCGCTGCTACCCATGAAGAAACAGGCCTCAGAGAGGGCTGGCACGACCCGATTGGCCCTATGCTCAGCACCCTTGCTCCCGGCGCGATGACCAATGTGGGGCTGGTGAGCCGGGCGGTGTTGTGGATAGCGCCCGCCACCTCACTCCACGGGGCCCAGGCCCCACCTTGTCTTTGTGCTGCTCCAGCCACTCGCGCAGCGCCGCCAATACTACTTCGGCCGCCGCCTCATTGGGGTAGCCTGGGGGCGGGGCGGGGCGGAGCGGGGCAGGTGAGTCCAGGTTCTGGCCCGCCCCGCCCCCTGTGCCTGGGCACGCCCACGCCCCGCCCCCTGTGTCTAGGCCCGCCCGCTCCCCGCCGCGCCCTGCGTGTGGGAGTCCACTTCCCACTCCCCACTTCTTCCAGACCCCACTCACCAAACACGCCGGTGGAAATGCAAGGGAACGCCTGGGACGGGGGAGAGAGGGGATGGGGACATCATCACTCTGCACCCCACTTCCTGCCAGCCTCCTCCCGCGGGCCGCCCCCGTTCCGCCGCTTGGTGACCCTCACCACCGAGCGGAGCCGGTGCTCCAGCAGCAGATCGAGGCTACTAAGGTAGCAGCTGCGGAGCTCCTCAGCCTGGTTGGCGCTGGGCTCCCCGTGGGCAATGGGCCCCACCGTGTGGATGACGTCTGCAGGGGGCAACAGGGTCAGCCGGGCCGGGGTCTCCGCTCAGACCAGAGCTCGCGCATTCCCCCTGCTGGCCTGGGTTGTAGGGGGGCAGGAAACAGCCTTCTCTGCCCAAATTCTGAGACTCCCAGAGGACCCCACCCTTGTGGGCACATGGGTAGGGTCCGAGTCCACACGTGCGCGCTGACCCGCAAGCCCATAGCTCAGTGTCGCGTCACGCCCATGTCTGTGTGAACCCCCACTGAGACCTGGGCGCTGAGTGGGGAAGATGCCTCCCCCTCCCTTCAGGCCCTGCTGTTCCCCAGCTCATCCCTATCTGCTGCCTGGGATGCTGGAGAAAGGGTCAGGCCCTGGCACTTGAGGTTAAGAAGTGCCCCCTGCGGCTGGGAGGCCGCACCCCCTCATGCTCACTTCCACACAGGTGCCCTGGCTGCGCCCCACGGCTGTGGCCTGTCAGGGACTCACACTTGGCCGGCAGTCGATAGCCACTGGTGATCTTGGCCTTGCCGGTATCGCAGTGCTGCAGGGTCCGGCACTCGTCGGTGAGCAGGGGTCCGGCGGCCCGGTGAATGCAACCGTCCACTGCGGGGGAGGAGGGAGTGAGCTGTGCGGCTCCCCGCGTCCCTGAGGCGGTCAGGCGTGGCTGACCCCCTTTACAGAGAAGGCTGAGTTCCGTGGCTGAATACTCCCAAGCCCAAGCCCAAGAATCCCTTCCCTCGGCTTTGCTAAGACTTCAGACACCGCGCCTTTCCCCGACAGCCTCTGTCCGCTCGCTTCGTCCCGCCGGGAGGTGTTTGTTTCACATCTGGGGAGACCCAGGTGTCCAGTGTGGTTGCAGCTGGGCTCAGCGGGAAGAGCGCGGGGCGACCGGCAGGGGGCGCGCCCCGCCCACCTGCTCTTCCGGCCGCGCCGGAGGGGCTCGGGCAGGCCGGGCCCCTCACAGCAGAGCCCCCGCTACCCCGAAGCTCGCACTTTCTTGTCTGCCCTGCGCGAACCTCCAACCAGTCGCCGCCACCGACAGGCCTAAACGTCGGATCCTGCCTCAAAGCCCATCGCCCCAGGCGACGCCCCTCGGGGCTGTATCAAACTCTAGGGCCCACTTTACAAATGAAGAAACCGAGGCCATCTAATTACAAGTGGCAGATCCAACCAGGGGTCTGAGCTTGGGTCCTTCTTCACCGCGCGGGGGTAAACCGGGCGGCGGCTTCCAAGCCACGTGCAGGTGTCTTAGAGCTCGCAACCCTCCTGCTGCCTAAAGAACCAGCAGCCATCAGCTTAATTGGGGCTTAATTGGGACCAGGCCAGGGATTGTTTATTCGAAGGTGGCTCCAGGGCCTTTGGAGCCACCCTGGGGACCCGGGCCCAGATAAACAACTCCGGAGCAGCGGGAGGCCAGGAGGAGTCCTCCAGCAGCCCACCCTGGTGAATTCCGCCAGGAGGAGTCCTCCAGCAGCCCACCCTGGTGAATTCCAGGCTGGCGCCTCATGGCTGCCAGACTGTCGAGTCCCTTCCTTCTATCTGGAAATTAGGGCCAGTGAAACACCTTCAGGAAAAGAGAAGAATGTAACACATCTTTGCCGTCTGATTGCACCCCAGGCCAGGATCCGAAGCTCCTCCAACACCAGGCGCCTTATGCTCCCAGTGCCTGGCATCAAGAAAGGACCATAATTTCCCCCATTTTACAGACACACAAACCAAGGCTACTTCCTCCTGTCGCTCCATCCCTCAAAGTCTTGGCACAGTTCCAGGGACACCAGCTGGACTAGACCCCTCTTTTTTCTGCTGTTTCTCTTGTGCCCTGTGGGGTCCAATTAAACCTAATTTTACAACCTCTCTCAGAGCCGGCACCAGGTGATTTCCCAGAGGTGGGTGTGGGTGGGACAGGGGTTGAAGAACACTGGGAGTGGCTCAGGACTGGTCTTTCCAGCCCCCTCCTCTCCTTTGGGGGAATAAAGACAGCAGCAGCCTCAGGGAGGAGGCAGTGAAACCCACCCAGGCCCTGGGAGCAGGTGCTGCAGAGCAGGGCAGAGCAAGTCTGCTCTGGGTGAGAGCACATCATGGGCCACAGCAGGGGCCAGGGGGCTGGGCAGCCTGAGAGTTTAAATACCCCCTCTGTGAGCCACAGCTGTGTGACCCAGGGCACATCACTCAGCCTGTCTGGGTCCAATAGCAGTACCCACTTCATGGTGGGTGTTGGAAGAATAGTTAATTCTTTTTTTTTTTTTCCTACAGATTTTAGGATCAAATCCAGGGCCTTGTGCATGCTAGGCAAGCACTCTTCTGCTGAGCTACATCCAGAGCCCCAAGTGAGCTGGTTCTTATAACATGCTTCAGCCAGGACTTGGCATAAGCAGAAGTGAGTTTGGCTGGCTCTTATTATGACAGTATGACAAATGTGGCATGTTCAGGGAATGTGTGTACACCAGAGGTAGGTGTGCACAGGTGACCATGGAGTGTCGGGTCTTGACCAGCTCCAGTGGTCTCAGCCTCCTGGCACCCAGCTGCTAGTCTCCGGGGGCTAACTGCCCTGCAGGTGACCTTGGCTGGCTGTGGGAGCTGTGCGGAAGTGGAGCTCGATGAGATCTGTGTCTCAGAGACTTAATGTTTCCTGCAGAAGTGGACAGGCCTGCAGCCAGGCCCTTGGGACTGACCTGGGGGCACAAGGCAGGAGGGAGAGGGTTGGAGGTGGTACTAGCAGATGCTTTGGGCTGCAGTCCCTCCAGCAACTTCTAGAACAAGGCTAGGCACCCACAGGAGGGGTTCCCCTAAAGCAAAGATAGGAGACAGGCCTAGGATACCACCTCTGCTCCACACCCCCAAGCAGGACAGAGCCCCGACTGAGCCACCTCTCCTGCCCAGCCCCTCCCTGTTCACCCAGCAGCCTTCCTGCTCTCCCACCCAAGTGCAGAGGGGAACCCAGCCCTCTTGTCTTTGGCCACAGGCCCAAAGGGCCCACTCCCCTCTACACTACCAGCAGCCCTAGCTTCTGGCCCCCAGGACTCACCCTGGCTCTTACCTTGGCATTGGCTGAGACTTTCTGGGATCCTGTACAAGGGAGGTGTCCTTCCTTCCTGCCAGGCCAGCCCCTGAGCAGCTGGGAAAGCCCTGGCCCCTGGGGCTGTCTGGTGGGAGGTGAGGTGTCCCTAATTCACTGGTGAACCAACCCTTCTGCTCTCAAGACCCCTGCCACCAAAAACCCCTCAAAACTTTCAGCTCAACCTTTCCTGGGGAGATTGTTGAGCCCACTTGGGGGCGAGGACTTTCTTCAAGTATCTGTCCACCAGGTCTAGCTTTCCTCCAGTTGTGGCACCAGCAGATGCCCCTGAGGCCTACTCTGCCCCTCCTGTTGGCCCCTCCTGCTGCCTCCACCCCTCTGCCCCCACCATAGAACCCCAGGCCTTCCACACACTAGGCAAGAGCCCTACCACTAAGCCACGCCCCATCCCCTATTTTATTTATTTTGAGACAACCTCTCCCTAAGTTGCCCAGGCTGGCCTCCAGCTTGTGATTCTCCTGCCTCAGCCTCCGGAGTAGCTGGGCATATAGGCCCTGCCCTGGCTTCAGCTGGCTCCTTCCAGCCCGCCTGCGGCCCAGGCCAGGCGCTGGCTTGTTTGAGCCTCCAGGTCCTTGGGAGGCACTGCCATTTTTTCTGATTTTGGTAGAAGACACTGAGGGCCAGAGAGAGACCTGGCATTGTCACAGCCAGAGGTTGGGTCGCTGTAATTTGGTACCCTACTTCCTCTAGGACCACTAGATGTCTGTCCCTCTTACCACTGGGCCCCTGCCCTGGCTGGCTGGCCTGGGGTTGCCCCACTTCATTGTAGACCTTCAAGGTGGCCCTGCCCTCATCTGCAGCCCCCTCCCAATCAAGGGACTTCTTTGGGGGACCCTCACCTTTCTCCACTGCCCGACTTCCCCTGCATGGTTGCCCACCACCTCCATCCTGCGGGCTCTCGGCCTCCAGGGCCCCCACTTGGCTCCCCATCCTTCCCTGCCAGGGAGGGGGAGGGGGCAGGGCGGGGCAGGCAGGCTCCAGAGGGGTCACCGCCAAGGCGCTGAGGATGAGTTGGCGGCTATTTAGGGTGCTGTAATATTCATGAAGGGAAGATTAGATATTTAAATTTATTCAGCAATAAATGCGTCTCAGTGGGGGAGCATTCCTCATGCTAAACAAACAAGCAAGGAGGGGCTAATTAATTATTTACAGGAACACAGGAGCCTGTGGCCTGGGGAATAAGGGGGGCAGCCATACCCTGCCAACGGGCAGGACACCCTGGCCAGCCCTCCACGGCCATTCCGCCTTCACCACCCTGTGGATCTGGCCCCAGGTACCCCTTCAGGAGTCTTCATCCCAGAAATCCTGCCACAAGATTGCCAATGACTTTAGGCAAGAACCTGGGCCTTGAGAGTCACGGGAAGCAGTGACATTCTGGGAGGTGGCTGAGGGACAAAGCCTAAAGGCCAGAGGGGTGTAGCAACTTGCCCAGGGTCTCACAGTAAGAGGCAGAGCAAAAGCTAAGACTAACCTCCATTTTACAGAAGAAGAGACAAAGGCTCAGAGGGGCAAAGCCACCTTCTCAGAGTCACATAGCAAAGCAGGGGTCCTAAGGTCTTTCCTGGGCTCTTGTGGGCCCAGAGAACAGGAAAGACAGCAGAGAGGACAGGTCCTCAAGGTCAACAGATCATGGCCTGCCTCCCCAGGGCCCAAGTCTCCCAGACTCTGCAATGAGCTCACTGGGGCCCAGTGGGGGCCCTGCTTCCAGTGACAGAGCAGCCCCAGCCCCGGGGGACCCATGGGCGGGGAGCCTCCCAGCGCTAGTCCCTCTCCGGCTCTTCCACCTCCCCACTGGCCACGCCTCAGTTCCTAGTCTCCATAGCAAGGCCCTCCTCCCTGGCGGGGCACCCAGGAGGAGAGGCCTACAGTGCCTGGTACTTGGTCACATTGTCACTCTTTCTACAGAGGGTGAGACCGAGAGCCGCAGTCGCAGGCCTTAGGCAAGCGTCTGCTGGCCCTCCAAGCCCTCAGGGCCTCCGAGACTCAGGAGCAGGCTGCACTGCGGGGTGGAGAGGTCCCTGGGAAAGACCTGTGCAAGGCTCCTGGCTGGGCCTCTGCAGCCTGGGCCTGGCAGGAGGGGCTGCCGAGGTAGCGGCCTGGGCAGAGCCCGGGGAGGGGCACCTCCCAGCCCAGGAAGGCACAGAGGTCTGGGGCTGGGGGCCGCCTGGGGACCTGGGGCGGCGCACACTGTGGCCCACCCTGTGGCCCACCCATGGCCCCCGCAGCAGGTCTGAGCCTCCCTCTTGGAAGAAGGAAACAGGGAACACCAGGCTGGAAGGGGCCAGGCCCCGCAGGGCAGATGGGAAATGGCCTCCCCAGGAGGGTACCCGAGGATCTGGGGCAGAAGTCTGGGCTGCTGATTCTCAGCTTCCCCGCAGGGGGCAGGCCATGAAGCCTGGATAAATGACCACCGAAGGCCTTGTCCCCTCTTCTCTTCGGCCACCCAGACTCTCCAGTTGTGGCCTCTGTTCACTTCCTCGGGAGCAGGGACTGAGAGGATGCACTTGTCAGACCATCCTCTGGTCGC